AAATCAACTTGGTACTATATTTTTTAATTAAACTCTCTTGCACTGGATTAGACTTGGATGCGAATGTCCTTTCCACAAAAGTTACTGCAGCTTTTCCATCTGAGCTGCTAGCCTGCCATCACAAGCAAATAGTTTTTTTTTTTTAATATGCAAAAGGAAGTATTATGAGAGAGAGAGAACGAAAGAAAGTACATTGGTGGAGATCTAGTCCTCAAAAATTCTTTTCTAGAAAAAGAGATAATAGGTTCAAAAAACAAAGTAAATGTACCAGAAAAGAACAGTCGGTCAGTATCTATCTATAGAAATATCTCCGTAAATATACACCTTACCCTAAAAACACGCCACAAAATTTATTTAGCCCCATCGAAGAAAAGGAAAATGGTCCTTAAAAAGTCCTAGGGTCTGTCACCGAACACAGCATCCACATCTATGCATGGGAAATACCTACCAATAGCAACCTATCCTCCGTCCCAACTCCATGAAGAGAAGAGGTAATAAAACCCTTAAGCTTCAGAGGAAAACCCAAAAAATACCAAACATAACACATCCCTGGGACAGAAGAGCAAGATTCAGCCTTTTAAACTTGGAGCAAGTCACAAGTATTGGGCCTACTAAAAACAGTTGTTCAAACAAATATGTTAACCAAGGGAGCAGAAAAAGCTTCCAAAAAACAAATTAGCAAAGCAACATTCTGGAAAGAAGGTTTGTGCCTTCAGAAGGCATTTTGCAAGTTGCCCAAGAATCCAAAAACTAAATTCTGCAATAAGAAAAACAAGAAACTCAAAAAGTTGAAGATAAAAACAAAAGCATATCCACAGCCTATGGTCATTAGGGTTTTTATGAAAGACAATGTTCAAAGAGAAATTACCATTATTTTGGAAAGTGAAGCAGGAAATATGGCAACAGGAAAGTTTATAAAAATGCTGAAAAAGGAAAGCTAAAGAGAGAGGACAACCCAACGATCCACCCAATAACAAGATGCAGGAGCCATCACCCACTGGCAACCAGATTAGTGGAAGAAAAGTCATAGTCCTTACAAACAAATAGCTTTCTAGGGACTTCTTTAAGAAACAGAAACTCTAGTTTTAAAACCTCCGCCACTACAATGTAGCCCAAACTTGCTATTCATGTAAGTACCAAGCAAAACCCTCTTATGAAGTCTATAAAACAAACCTAAATAACAATTGAAGCATCTTTTATGGTCATTTTTTAAAACTACTACAAAAAAAAGTAGTTATATGAAGCTCTTAAGTTATTTTGCTCTTGCCATACCCTTTTCATAAGCTCATTTATAGCACCATTTTTTAATTATGGGAGCGAAAGAAAAAGTTAAATAGAGCCATGACCTACTAGCCTCTTAGATCGTTTTTAAATAGACATGAAAATGTATTAAAAATATTTGAATATCATACACATACAGAGTGAAAGGTTTTTGCATATATGTATTCACGTAACCAGAGCTGCTGTAAGCTATTTCACATCGTTAAACTGAACCCTCTTATCCTCGTCTCTCTAGTTAGGGTCGAAATCATTTTCTTTCTTTTTTGCTTATTCTTTTGTGAAATTACCAACATCCCAATCATCTTCTAACTCCTTAGGTTTGTCATAGGAGATTATACTTATCAACGTTAATCAAGTCCCTTTCAACCTCTTTGTCTTTCTCATATCATTTAATTGACCTTGATCCTTTTTAGTGTTTCCTTCAGTTGATCCTCAACAGTGCTAGATATATTCCTGAAAAAGGACTCACATCATATTTTGTGATTGCTTTATGCAGTTCCTCCAACGTCCCGTGTCATGTTCGACAAGCCAAGATAAACCACAAGCAGGTATACTACGCAGACAAGGTTGCAAGGTGGGCATATTTAATGGATGAGATTATGTCCACTGGATCCATGGGAAAGGGGAGAGGATTGATCCTGCTTGAATTGGCTAGGCGTTTTTGACTAGGAGATTTTTTGATGAAAGTCAATTAGGATTTCCGTTTTACCTTTTGGATAGGAAGTCAATTAGGAGTTTGGATTTTATTTGGTTTTAGGAGTTCGATTAGGAATATTAGACTGACTAGTTCCAAAGAATTAGGAATCTTTCTCTATAAGTATGCTCGTTCAACCAATGGAATTCCTACATAAAAACAGTCTACCTGGAGGTCCTTAGCTCTGCGTAATGCACACATTACTGTCAAGGCTGAAAGAAGAACAAGCAAGCTTTGTGCTAGCTACAGGATTTCACTTCGAGCAGACCCGTGACCAAATTGAAGACTTGTTACTGCTCATCATGCATCTTGAAATCATTGTTTTCGCCACTCATTATCACAGTAGGAGTACAAAGCTGGGTAACTTCTATGAAGCTTTGTTTAGTAAATACTCAGATGACACAAAGACAGAAGTATTTCTCAGTTTCATCCATCTGGCTCTATTTATAAATAGCATTATCCTCCCGGCTGATGAAATAAAGTTATTATGAAATCCTTCAAAATAACTGAAAAAGGTATGCCTCAAAAATTAAATTTAGAGAACATTAGCTAAGAGTGCTTAATCACAAACATCCATTTGTGGCCCATCCTTTCATGGAACCATCTCTTCTTTAATCTCCATTTCTCAATTCAGTCAATACATTCTAACAACTCAGAACTAGCTACCATATTAAACCATTTTTATACTCCTTAAGAATCCAACAGGATCTAAGTCAGAGTGAGAGACCCTTGAGTAAGCACTATATTCTCTCTTCTCTTTAGGATTTCTTCAATTCTCTGTTTCACCCATCTGGCTCTGTTCTGCAAGCAACAGTATCATCTCCACTGCCAAAATAAGCTTATGATAAAGTCGTTCAAATAACAGAAAAAGTTCCATGTCAAATATTAAATTTTGTATCCTTCAATTTAAATAACTTTGGATTGCCTTAACTGTCCTTTTTCTAAGTGTCTTTTCCTTCATAAATCCCAAGGTTTTTCCTGTCAGTTTCAAATCCGCACCTAAGCACAGTGAGGAACATATGTCTTTTGTCTAAGCATTGACGAGTAGCTTGGCTTGATGCAACATGTTCATGCACCATACATATGCACTAATCCACACCCAAACCAGATTTCATTATCCAATACCCATACCTTTTCTACCAAGTTCTTTGGATATTCCTGTTTCACCAAGTCAGTAGGCTTCTCTTGTGCATCCAAAGCTACATGAACCATAGTTGTGCTTTTGTTGGATAATATGTGGTCAGAAGGACCAGCTGCAATCTTCTGCAGTTCTCTGCTAGAGAATCAACACAAGCACAATCATCTTCTAAATTTTTCATGTGATGCTAACTAAAAAAAAATTAATGATAGCATATTCAACATACCCTGATCGATCATAGGCAGCCCAGTAATCTTCTAAACAGATGGTTAACAAACTCTGACTGAAATCCAGGGCACAAGGTCTTAAAAGCTTATTTGACAACCCAGCAAATAAACAAATGGAAACAATTGAATCTCTTCAATTAAAAGTCCAACTATTTTTTGCTACCTCCTGATCAAGAATGCTAACAACTCAGTTTTCAAATGCTGTTGAGTTGAGCGGCTGAAGTGAGCGAACCCAGAGAAGACATCATAGCAAATGGTAAGAACTGAAGAAAGAATTATCTCCTTCTCTGCTTGAATTGTATACTGTTTGCACCTTCTTCTCTCTTGCTTGCTTACGGAAGGAAATGCAGCATAGAAATCGAGCCATCCAATTTCATCAATTACTACCTGATGTAGGTTTTACATTGTGAGCCAAAGAGAAAAGAGGCAGAATGAACTTAAATGAACAGTTGAGTCCAGCAATCATTTGACTAACATAACAAATTTATACATCTTAAACCCAATCCCAAATTTTAAACATAAGGATCAACCTATATCCTGAATCTAGTTTGTGAATCGACATAGTAACTTGCATTTCGAATCTCAAACACAATGGTGAGAAGAACTAACCTCCATGAAGAATTGATACACTGATATGGATGAAAATTCACCATATATGAAAAGACTACCGCATTCCAAGTAGCTGCAAAGGTATTCAAATACATACACTATCTGTATCAAGGATATATTGAAAAACATGGAACAATCAAGTATAAAGAGCTTACCTGAGAAAGTCCTTAACTGTCTGATCAAGATCATTTATGCCCATTTTTGACAAAAATAATCTAGTCCTTCTTCCCAGATAAGCAAAAAGCCCCAGTGTAGCCAAACTATCTGCCAAAGCCTGTCAATTTTGTAATTAAGAACATGAGAGAAAGATGCAGATTCCTATGTGTAAGGGGATAGGGAAGGAAAAATACTGAATATTTACATATCTTTTATTGAAATGAGAATAGGGATCTATAGACATATAGGTGGATTCAGATATGGTAACCAACATAAAACACCCTATTAATTATGCTAACATATCAGGAAAGATAATCATACTATTATATAAATGGAATATTTTATAATATTCTAACACTCCCACTCAAACTGAAGCATAGATATTAA